ATTTTCTGGCCACATGTTATTTTAGATGAGTACCGAAAGCTAATAGAAAAAATTACTTAAATCTAGAGAAATAAGAAACCACTGTAACAACCTAAGACAGGCACAGTCACAGATGGGGCCATCAGGAGAGAACTTGGGGGTCAACAGAGGCGGGGCACAGACCCTTACTAACCTCCCCCTCCCCGCTGCAGCATGGCAGGCGCCTGAACCTTCTCCCATTCTGAGGGAGGTCTCCTGCCCCCATAGCTGCTTCGCTTTCCATGCACAGCTCAAATTGGGACCCAGATAGCAGACAGACTTGGCTGACAGCAGCTGACCTCTCACTGCAACAAGACTTGTTTGAGAGGTCTTATACACATGGTGAGGGCAAGTGGCTTTTTAATATCCAAGTCCAGCCTAGTAGCAGGAATGCTCAGGCCCTTCTCAAGAAGGGAAATAATTAATTCCACTAATATACGCATGGTAAATAAGATTGTTGCTAGAGTGTTGAGTTTGACAGATGAATAGTAGCTGACTTCTCAGAGGAAATTAATGTGGTTAATGGAAATAAGTGAATATTCTAGAAAAACTGATGGTACTGTACAAAAAGCTGTTCCTAAAGTGTTAACAAAATTTCTTATTGGCAGAGTGTCCCATGGTAAAATTGCACAACATGTTATGAACCTAAAGCAGTCATAGTGTAGTACAAATAATTTAAAATGTAAAAGCTATCAAGACTACATGATAAAATTTCTAAAAGTCTCCTATTATTTAAAGTAAAAAAGGGGGTGACAGTGGAAGAAAAGCATGTAAGGAAAAATATTCTGAGAATAATTTACATCTAAAAAAAGTTGTACTTTAGAAAATTAATCTTCATTCGAAACGCTAACAGCAAGATACCTATGAAAAGACACACATGAGCCAAAACCGGTTAGGCTCAGCAGTAGAGCGTTGGTCTGCGGACTGAAAGGTACCAGGTTCGATTCTGGTCAAAGGCATGTACGTTGGTTGTGGGCACAGCTCCGGTGGCGGGTGTGGAGGAGGCAGCTGGTCAATGTTTCTCTCTCATCGATGTTTCTTGCTCTCTATCTCTCTCTCTTCTTCTCTGTAAAAAATCAATAAAATATATTTTAAAAAAAGAAAAAAAGAAAAGAAAAGACACACATGGTGTCAAAACAAGCTAGGGGAAAATTATTTGGGGGGGGGGGGGGAGTGATGAAAAGAATCCCAAATCAAATTTAAAGAAAATATCCCTTTATTAACTTTTGGTCGAGAATATGTATGTATATTTTCAGAAAACAACTCTAAGACCATCTGGAATCCTATATCAGAGAGGAATAGATAGAAGCGCTCCAGCCATGAAGAGAGAAGAGACACAATTCAGAAATGGAAGATGCTGACGACACCTTGCCATACCAGCAGACAGCAGCTGCTTGTTGCTGAAGGATACCCAGGACCAAACCAGACACGGTCGGTCCTGCATTACTACCATTTGTCCACCAACCAGATCTGAAATATCATGGCTGACATGTACACATAAGGAACTATTTGACATTGAAATTGGGACTCAAAAGAACTGTTGGCTCAGAAAGGAACTCACTACAGACTGATTCATTTGCCTCTCAGCATAACCATTATTGCTTGTCGCAGTTTAGGTTCTTACAAGGGTAATTCTTGGATCACATGATCTCACACATCTAAAGGAAATAATGAACAACATAAACTGATGAACAAAAACAGACCCAGAGAAAGAGAAGCAGCGATCAGACTCTCAAACTTCAGAGGGAAAGTAGGGGAGGGTGGGGGTAAGGGGAAGAGATCAACCAAAGGACTTGTGTGCATGCATATGGGCCTACCCAGTGGCCATGGACAACAAGGGGGTGGGGGATATGTAGGGAGGGGGTAGGTATGGGAATGGGGGGATAAGGACAATTATGTGAGACCATAATCAATAAAATAAACTAATTAATTAATAAAAAAGAAACCACTGTATTATTGAAACAAGATATATTTTAAACTATTACAATTATCTAATCACTTATTGCAATTCTATCAACTCCCTAAAATTAATAGATCATATTAGATCCTTCTTAGAAATTATGCTTTGTGCCATTTGTTCTTATTTATTGTCCTGGCAGAAAGTTCCAGCTGAAATCAAGGTCACCTTCTGTCCCAAAGTTGGTTTAATTAGTATCAATTCGGTGTTTCACCGAGCTTCCACAGGAGGTTATTAACTGTGTTTTTCATGTGAGTGTCAAAGAAGCAAGAGCTGTGCTGCGAATCTTTTCAGCTTCAAAGGCACTGCGCATACATTTAATTCGTTGGTTAGTAAGAAAGATACAACCAGTTTAGCTTATTAATGACTTTTAAAGTAGTTTTAAACATGTTCTAGAAATACATTTATTCATATATACAGGATGAGTTTCTAAAATATAAAATAGATTACCATCCTAATAGGCAATTCATTTAATCTTGATATTTATAAGTGACAGGCTTCCTGAAATACAATAATTATGGAAATGTTTAAATATAATACTTATATGTATATGCATATTATATAAAATGAATTCAAGAAAATGGCACACAATCTTCTAGTGAACATTTTCTTTTCTTCCTTGGAGGTTGTTTTGTATGTATTTTTAAATTATATTAAATCTAGGATTGTTACCATAAGTCAATGAAAATACTTTTACATTTATAGGAGTAAAACAAACAAACAAACAAACTGTTTATTTAAAATGAATGTAAATGAATAGAGCAAATGTTTTTGTTCAAATTGACCTAAGTCAAATGAATAAACAGACTGGAAATTTAACTCTTAAAAATATGATGCTTTGTAAATTGCCCAAGCCTCAAGTGTCCTTAGAAAATAGAATGGAGCATAAGTGTTCTGCTTTCCAGAAGAAATAGGTAAATATTCAAGGTTTTTCATATTTTTTCCCTTAGTTCAACTTTATAACCAGTGATATGTATTCTTACTCCAGATAAGACCTACTAGAATAGAAAGGGCAGCTTTAGTATCCCTTGCTATCTTAGAATAACCTAATCTGTAAATGTGTGAGTCCATAGCTGACTTAAATAAAGACAAGGTACCCCCACCCCTGGTTTTTATTTAAGTCAGCTATGGACCCCACATTTGCAGATTAGGTTACAAAGTTTCAAATATAGATGATAAAAAAAATTCCAGATACCAGGGTCTTTGCTTGGGTTGCTGGGGGGTATGGTCAGCCTGCAAATCACTACAGGCTCGTCACCAGGCAGCCCCATGCTCCAAATGAACCTCTTCCATGTGTCTTTAGGACCTGGTATAGTCCCATATACATAGCAGGTGCTCAATGAATGTTTGTTAGAGATGGACACCATAACTGTTTGATAGGAAGTAAGTAGGTCTTTAAAATACAAATTCAATTCAACATTTTTCCCTTCTTTTCTATCACGTTGATTTGATTGTACAATTGGAAATTAATATTGTCATTTAGATTTTGTTAGTATGGATTAATCATATGCACTTTGAATTAGTTTGTAAAAAAATTTCAAAATTGATAAAGAGAAGATATATATATATATATATATATATATATATATATATATATATTTACCTTTTCCTTCATCTTTATTATTTTTTCCCCACTTTTATGTAAATTGCTATTAGAAATATCTTAAACTCTTCTCACTTGTAGATTTAATTCAAATACAATTTATTTAATAACCATTAAATAAACCTAGGTATTTTTGACAAATTCTTATTACTACTATCAATAAACTTTGCAACCAATCCTTTAGCTATCAACCTTGTACATTGTGTATAGTTCGCATGACTATTAAAAACTAGCAATTGTCAAGTACAGTTTTTTAAAACAAGAGAAAAATTGGTATGATAACTGCAAAGTGAAAGCTGGCAACTCATTTAATATTGAGAATTAATAAAAATTTCAAGAAAACTAAATAGTGTAATTGAACAATCTTTACAAGTGAATGAAAATAATTCTAAGCCTGCCCTTGGTACAGTTTTAATTACTATATATTAATGTAATGTTCCCATGATTTCAAGTTAAATTGTCAAGTTTAATAGGTATTAGTATAGCCAACATGACAAAAAACGTATAAAAATTAAAAAAAAACACAACAGACTTAAATAAGACAAATTTTCTCTAAATGATGTTTATGCAGAAGTAAATTTTAATGTGTTTTCTACAATGCACTCAACTCTTTTTATTTCCTTATCATATGTTAACCATTTAATGACTGCTCAGGAATGCTTTTTTATATTTCTGAAACATATGTAATTATTTTTTGCCCATCAGGATTATTTTCCATTTCCTTAAGATTGCTATCCTTGAGGCAAAAATGCTTATTATTAAACTGATATCAGAAATTACTCATGGAGCCAATATAAAATACTATCATCCTTGACAATTCTAGACCACTTGCTTTAGAACATTAAACTAGAATAAGCAGATCCACTCTGCAGATTATTTTAGGGTAATATTCTGAATATTTACTTAAATGTTCTATTTTTTATGGTTTATAATGACCATGGATTATGTCAAGTTTTAAAAAAAAAATCAACACTAATCTGGTGGCAGAGAAATAACAACTCTTTAACATTAAAGTAGACCATCAAAAAGGCAAAAGTTATCTCTGCATCCTTGAACATGTTATTTGTTTGTTTGCATTGAAAAGGCAAGGCAAAAAAACAAAAACAAAAACAAAAAACAAACAACAACAACAACAGAAAAAGAATATTGACAATGTTCACATTTTAAATTTGCTCCATGCTGTAGAAATCCATACGTTTTTAACCTATATTCTGAAATATTTTCATAATAGTCATAAGTGACACTAAAAATTAAAATATAACACTTGTTTAATAGTCTATTCCAATCTTCCTAATTGATTGTAAGTTAGGTGACTTACTTATTATTAATTAAATTGGATCCTAACTTTTCTGCCCCTTAAAGAAATCCCTTAAAGCTCCATTTAGTGTGTTTTCCAGGCCATAACAAAGAAGGATACTGTACCTCTTATGCTCTTGGCTGTTGCAGAGGAGGTTGGACTGCTTGTTATGGCTACAGTGGCTGTGACTGTTGCAGGGGTAAGGGAGGGGATGATAGTAGTGGGAAGCAGAGTGTTGGGAACATCTGGTGAGTGGAAAAAAACAAAATATAAAACAAAATCATATCATGCAAACAAAAGACAAACTCAAATGATCCAAATTACAAAAATACATATATCTTATTTAGGTCTAACATTAACAAGCTTTAACAAGATTATCAGGTACAAAGCTGGCTGTACCTCACAGTTCTTGCCATTTTTTGTTCACTTTCTTTTCATGCTCCTACACAAAGTAAAAAATTGGAGCAATGTTTGAGAATAAACAATTGTTCAAAAATATTTAGAGTGAAATTTAAAGTGACAAGAATTCATTTGTTCACTGAGTCATTTGAAAAGTTGGACATGCAATTGCAAAATACAGATAGGTAAAACAAAAAATGACATGCTTTATCAAACAAGTAAACAAAAAAAAAATAACATGACAGAACTAAACACAAGTAACATCACCATATTATAAGTTAAATAAGTGTTATGAATGGGTGAGTATATGCATGTTAAAGGCTTTTTGATTTTTTCATCTAAGAAAACAATGATAGGAAATAAATAGGATGAGAGTGATCTTTAGAAACAAAAATAAGCCAATTGTTATTAATATTACATTACTTTTCCATTTCTCACGAATGATGTTAATGCATACTGGAGTCTTGAAATTCTTACCCTGATTAGCTGGTACGCCTTCTAACAATTTTGCAGTACCTAGGAGTCTTTAACAAGTATTGAATCAACTAGCATGAAACCCAATATTCTGAAAAGTTTATGATTTATTTTATTTGGCATATCTAGGAGAAGTTATTGAACATATACTAGAAAGTAACATTCAATCCTTAATCCATAATTAGTAAAAGTTGCCAAAGTTAACAGTAGGTCAAAATATAGGGAACATACTACACAGAATAAACACCTCAGAGTTTAACACCAAAATCATACTTTCTGTCACTCAAAATGAACTGAAAATTCGGAGAGCAGCATAGAGTATAGTAAAACAATATAGACAGTATCAAACTGTGAGCTCCTCAATAAGATCCTCAGAGAGTCAAATCTCATCTCAAGTGGATAGACATATCATTTACACTTAAGGAAATTAGAAGCAGCTCACAAATTACCTGTAATTACTATGCCAGGGCTTGATTTTACATATTTTTCACACAGCCCTGATATATTAAAAGTGTTTGATAGATTATTTTGCTACTAAAAGGCTTCTTGTCAGTCTAATTAAAGTCTTTGAGTCACACCAAATTTTTTCTAGTTCTTTACTTCTGATAAATAGCCCTACCGGATATTCGGACTTTAACCTGATGAAGTATCTACACTAGAGACACAGCAAACCACACGATATCACTCTCATCTTCCTGGCCAGTAAAATTTAAGAAAATAACCTGAAAACTCAGTGTTGGTACATTAATCACAGGGGGAAATGAGTATTTCCTGGACTGTGATTCTCATGATCATAAAGTAGAACTGACTTTCATCATAAATATTATGTATATGAGCATGGTCACTTCTTATTTACTAATTTTTACAATATCTTCTTATTTTATTTTTTAATCTATTTTATTGATTTTTACAGAGAGAGAGAGAGAGATGGAGTTAGAAACATCAATGAGAGAGAAACATCAATCAGCTGCCTCTTGCACACCCTCTACTGGTGATGTGCCCACAATCAACGTACATGCTCTTGGCTGGAATCGAACCTGGGACCTTTCAGTCAGCAGGCTGACACTCTATCCACTGAGCCAAACTGATCTTGGCCTTCTTTTATTTTTTAGCAAATATTTTTTTCTTATAGGAGGACATGTCTTTTATTAATGAGAGAGTGAGAGAAACTGATGTGAGAAACATCAGTTGGTTGTCTTCTGCACCCACCAAACCATCAGACAAGGGATTGAATCTTAACCTTTTGGTGTAGGAAGGATGTTACAACCAAGTGAGCCACCGGCCAGGCCAATAACTTTTTTTTTCATGGTAAGCTTTCCTAAAGAGTTTAGGAAGGCTAATGGTAAATGAAGTAAGTTTTGTAAATTAATAAAAAGAACATAAATTTAATCTTCTTATATTATTCAAGATAAAAATATATTCTTCATTTACTTGTTCTTTAAGACCTCAAAATATATGTATTTAATTAATGCAAAGGGAAATATTTCCAAGGGCTATCAAGTATAAGAATTATATATAATAAAACTATAATATGCAAATCGACCAAATGGCCGAACAGCAGAAGGACCATTGAGATGACAATCTAGGACCATGCTATGACACCCACTGGCACCAAGCCAGCCAAGGAAGGTTCAATGTGATTGGTTGGGGGCCTGGCCATCATCCCATGATTGTCCCACAGTAGGAGGTCCAGGCCACTGACCAGCGGGCTGCAGCAGGTGGTTGGTCCTCCCTCTGTAAAGAAAGCCTGGGTCCCGGGTGCTGGCAGCCAGAGAGAACCTGGTGGTGGCAGCCGGGAAAAGGAAGGCCTACTTTTGCACCAATTTTGTGTATTGGGCCTCTATTATACAATAATATTAGTTCTTTGAAACTTCATGTACATAACTTTATTATAAATTATAAAATACTAGTGTGTGTGTTTTTTCTATTCTTTTTCTCTCTCTATCAAACAATGAGTTAAAATGATACTACTGCATCTGAAAAGCAGCCTTTCAAAATTACTTTAACAAATAACTGGAATTCAAATAACAGGTTTGGGGTTGTTTTGTTTTGTTTTTAGTTTAGCCAAAAATAAAAGCGTGTTATTTGGTGTTTTTGTCCTTATTCCATATCAACTAAAATAGGTAATAATAGATCTTGATTTGTTTTGGATAGAGTTGATATTACCAAGCATTATAAGCATTCTTATATAAATCACAAAACATCCTTATTTTCTAAAATTGTGAAAATGTATGGATTATATTTGTTTTTCTAGGCTAATTTTTAAAGAAATTAAAAACAATAGGTTGTGGTTTTAAAGTGTCCGGATAAATGAGATACCACTACAAATTATTCTTGACTCATAGTCTGGCTCCTGCTTATCTGTTCATCATCTTCTCTCATACTCCCCTCTTGAATTCATATGCACATAGAAACAAATAGGCTGAAAGTAATTTGGTGCAAAACACCGTGGCCAATATGAAAATTGGATCAAGACAATAACCTATATAAGAAATCTTTCCCAGTAACTGTTACATGTTTTGAATCACCATTAACTTCATTTCATCCTATGTGTTCTAAAACACTTTAGACATTCATTTTTCAAAAAAAAAATTTAGGGTTTCTTCATTCTGTTTTTGTTTTACTGCACATGTATGTTCACCCAAATATTTCAACCCTGTCATAAATAGCAAATGTTAACTAAACTAAATATATTCAACACTAGATTAATCAGGATCAAGTAAAATTCAGCAACATAAGATTAATTGGAATTAGTTGAAATCCTCAGAAATAATAAGAATATTATATGATACTTCTCTTCTATGAAAACTTTCTAAATGCTCTGAGTTTATTGCTGTCAGACTCCACATTTGAGAATTCCTGAAGAGAAGAACTCTGCATACATATTGTTGAGAACCTAATGCAATTTAGGTCAATAAATATTTACCAACTTCATAGCATTACAAAAATATAACAACCTCACACATAGTTATTACATAGTATACCACCATAGTATTTTTAAAATATATATTTATTGATTTTCCACAGAGAGGAAGGGAGAGGAATAGAGAGTTAGAAATGTCGAGAGAGAAACATCAACCAGCTGCCTCCTGAACACCCCCTACCAGGAATGTGCCAGTAACCAATGTACATACCCTTGACTGGAATCGAACCTGGGACCCTTCAGTCCACAGGTCGATGCTCTATCCACTGAGCAAAACAGGTTTCAGCACTACCATGGTATTTATGTACATCTCTTTCTAATAAACTATAATTTCTATCTTTATAACTCAATATGTCTTTATTTTTAAAAATATAATTTTGCCCAAATGTACATCAGTAGATGAAATAATAAAACAGCTGTGGTACATTTACACAAAGGAATACTACTCAGACATAAAATATAAGGGCATTTTACCTTTTGCAATCACATGGATGGATCTGAAGAACACTGTTTTAAGTGAAATAAGCCAAACATATTATTTCACTCATATTTGCAATGTAATGAACAGACAATCAAAATACAGATAAACCCATAGATAGAGGGCAGCTGTCCACTGCTGGAGTGGGTGTGGGACTTTGGGTGGGTGGTGGGTGAAGGGATTGAGCAAAAAAGAAAAAAGAGAGAAAGATTTCATGGAAATGGACAACAGTGTGGTGATGTTCAGTGGAGGTGATGGGGGGGTAGTGGAGGGTATTGGGATATGAATGGTGATGGGTGGGGACTTGACTTGAGGTGGCGCTCACACAACACAGTATATGGATGATGTGTTTAGAATTGTATACTTGAAACCTGTATAATTTTGTTAACCAGTGTCATCCCAATAAATGTAATAAAAGGAAAAAAATAATTAAAATATTACTTTGCTTTGGGACAAATTATTTTTACCCAACACCTCAGTATCACCCAATTCCTATCTTAAACTAGCCTTCCTTTCTTTATCTATCTAATAAAAAACACTACTCTCAACTTTCCGCCTGATTCCGACCTGCTCTGAGAAGACATCCTTGGCCAACTAAATTCAAACTGATTTCCTTTCTCTCTCAATATGCATCATGCTTTCGATTTTATCTATTACATTCCTCACATTGTCACTACTCCCTTGATTCCCCCATTACAATGATGTTTACATTCATGATATCTTACTATCTATGGGCAACCACACCCAGAGCTATATGCTTCTTACTAGCTGCACATCTCTGTCTCCTGCCTCATCTGAACAATATTACAAAATACATGTGGGATGATATAGTAACATTTTTAAATTTTCATAATCAATTAATGCCCTCTATTATTCTAACTCTTATCCATAATAATAAAAGTGTGATACGCTTAATTAACCAGATGCCCTTCTGGACGTCCTTCCAGGAGGAAGCTGGGGCTACAGACACG